TAAGAGGGAGTTACTTGTAAAAATCGTAGGATTGCATGAGATAGTGCATTTACTATACGTATATATTCCTCAACTAACCTGATACTTATATCATTCGGCTTCGCAACATAAGGTAATATCCCGTCCTACTTGTCCTTTATAACTGGACACAAAAACTAACCCGTCTTTTAAATTTCAGCAAATATTTCGCTTATTCGTAAGGTACTTGAATAGTATGAGGATCCATTGATGAACTGATTTCTTAATTGAATGTCTGGTGCTTTTAATCAACAGAGACGCCAGTGCACTGTACGAATTCTCTGAAAAGGTACTGGAGAATTAGGGTAAAGGGTACGTTTAATTAAGCAAGTATTTGCGTTTTATTATTTTGAAAAACCATTTAAATGACTGCATTACTTCTGTATTGTTTGTGCTGACAGGAGATCCTTAAGAGAATACTTTTTTATTATCTGTAACATTAATTGAATATCGATATTTAAATAATGTTATAGATATTAACGATCATTAACATTCAGCGAGTGTTGTCTAAAGCAAAACCAGCGGAATTTGGCTTTTACAGTTCACAACCTGAATTTTTTCGAACTTGGTAAATATGCTTACTAAATTACTTACTAATTTATTTATAAATAATTTAGCTCATTGACTTAGTTACATATATTCATCCATGAATGGCTAGCTTTACATAAATTCTACAAGCTTTATCCCTTTTCCCGAAGAGTAACGCTTGTGAGCTTACACTTTTATTCTACCAGAGAGCCTTCTCGGGTCCTAGGATACATTCATCCGTATGTTTTTCGCCCACTTGGTAGACAAAGAACGATAGCAACTGTAGTCATTGATCTATAAATGAATTTAAATCCATACCACCGTATTAACTGCTGACCTTTTTCATGTGTGAGCATTTTTGTCGAAGTATCCAAAAGGATTTACGGTTTTTTTATGAAGTAGTTCGCGTTTAGCAGCCGAATAGACGAGTGATACACGACTTAGTTACAATTATTCTGCCAAACGTTTTTCTGAATTTATTATTTCCTAGGCAGTTGAATGCCATAAAAGATTAAATATTTCTAAAAAATGGAAAAAAATCTCTCGAAAATTATATTTTAACAAGACCAAGGCATACGTTTTCGGTACGTGTTTATGTTCATGTTCCGCTGATTTTCACTAGATAACCCTGTCTTTAGTATGTGGCGAAATATTTTTCTGGGTATTATAATACTTGCGTAACGTATACCTAACGATGTATATTTTGCGTTATACGTGTATGGCTGTTAGATTTTCTGACCTAAAATGTAAAAGATTATCCGCCATTTAACACAACTTTCCACGAAAGCGTTGAAAAAATATTTTGGGATGAGCACGCTGATTTCCATCCCACGCCTTTCACTAGAAATGTAGTTAACGAAATCTTATTAATTTTTCAAAAGCCGCCCGATGAATAAAACGACCCTTGCGATGGATGTGCTGCAAAATCAATCGCTTCTTCAATTATTTGTTGCACCACATAACTCGAATAACTTTGACTTCACCAACTTACATAAAGAGTAGAACACCTCCAAAAATAAAACGAGGTGATACGAAAGACTACGCTGTTAGCTTTCATCTGGTCACTTAGATGCCTGGCAGTCGTTTCAAAAGCGTGTGATTAGTTTCCTCGTTTTTATTATTAGAAATATTTTCAAAAAGGGTCGTGGGAAATCTATGCTATTCTGGAAAAATACAGTTACCTGTGTATTTCGGCCTGCATATCAATGGTTAATAGAACCGCAGTGTTTTATTGTTGTGCCTTTAATACAAAACACATTCCGCCTGTGTCTAGTCGATGGTTGCTATCCACTAAATGCAAAAGCCAGAGATGTTAATCGTATTTTTAATTTTTGTTACTTACACTGCCATTATATTATTATATTACAAACCCTCCCTTATGGGAATCACCTGTTGAAAACAACTCCTGTTTCAAAAAATACGGATAAGTTACATGTAAGCATTGGCCACCCCCATAAAAGTTTATTTAATTTTATGCTTTGTTCTGGTTTACTTCATAAATTCCTCTTCTACTTTTATCAATTGATGGCTATCTAGCAAAAGATTTGATTTGAATTTGCAAATAGTTAAATCGCTTTAAACATATCCGTGATTCCGAGTCTGAAATGTCACGTGCGACCCAGTTTACTAAGTGACAATTCCCAATCGACAATCCAGATTATAGTACAGGAAATTATCTAGTTTATCTTTGCTAAATTTTCCCAATGACACTGTTTGTATAAAACATTTAATATTTGCAAGCAACTTGCCGAGTTAAACCCAAAAAGCAGTTTCATAATCCTTATGCGATTGTCTAAACGAAATTATTTATTATACAATGCATATTAAAAAGCTGTTGGATTTTTATTGCAATCTGCAATACTATTCGAGTGACACCAGTTACCGTATGCACACGCCAATGGGCTCAGTAATTTTTGGACAAGCTCCTTGTGAACCTTCTTCCAAAACACATGATTACTGAAAGTAATTTCCCCGTTTATCTGCTTTTCAAAGTCTGGCTTCATTCTAATGCACGAGCCTTGTTACTTAACCGTAGGCTTAATTTCCCACGTTGGATAATCCAATGTCTATGGTCCAAGAAATTAAAGCCAAACATATTGGCAGTTTCTATGAGCGAGATGGTCCACTGGATTTTAATCAGCTAATGAATAAACTGAAGGAAGTGTCCGCGTCACGGCAAGCAAACTATGTACCAACTCGTCTCCAGATCCTTGACAACAAAGTGCTAACAGTACATGTAAACAACCAACCGGTGAGTATTTTCATAAGAAATGCTTAATAATTTCTGTAGAAACCGTCCGAAGTGTTCAAATTGGCGTTGGTTGAAGACGTCAACGGATATACAGCGACAAAGCGCAGCGCCAAGTTTCGCCATTTACTCACATTCCGCTATAAATTGAGTAAGGTTAATGGCGGCCATAATTACGACGAGGTCCACACCTTTCTACTGAATACAGAACCGGAACTGACAACGGCAGTATCCATGCTCAAGAAAGCCATTAATTCTGCCAAGAGTACTGATTGCGACTTTCCACCCAAATTGCCACTTTTTGATGGCCGAAGATATGCTTCACCAAGGCGGCCGTCTATGGAAAGAATGCGGCGACGAAACTCGGCCGAAGTGGCCAGATTGCAAACAACACCAGCGCTGAGTGCACAGAGGAGAGCCTCCCCCGAACTACCATCTCGAGAATTTTCATTGGATGCAGTACGGGCACAAAATCGACTACCGCGCACATCAAGGCCTCGAAACGAGGCAAGTTCAGAACCCATCTTTGCATTTTTGACTGTTTACCTTTCTCAGTAATCTCAGCCTAAACGAAATTTCCATACGAAAATTTGCCAGCGCCTGCTTTAATTCAATGTCATACAGCGACAACAAGTTCTGTCTGATTTCCTCTAGAGCAGGTCTCCTTAAGAGGAAGTAACAAATTGACTGATGCCATATTATTCAACACTCTTGATTGTAATCCTGACGGATAACTTTTCATACTCAGCTACTCACCGTGATTTGTTTCGGTTAACTCAGTTTGGCCGTAAACATCACAAAAGAGGTGGCTGAAC